AGTTATTTCACCTCTCTGAACTCCGCCTTCCTTCCTTCATTTCTCCTTGAGTTTTCTGAGTTATATATGTCATTCCATATACATCCCCACTTTGTAAGGACTTAGCCCCAACTATTTCTTCCTCTCATTCATAACAATACTAAACGTTGTAGAGAAAATATTTATAGGAGCCTTACTTGGATGGTATCCATTTTTTTAAGCATCTGACAAAATTGTTCTTTTCGTTATTCACATCCCAGTCCTTGTAGGCTGTTAAGAGGAGATGATCTTATAGTCTTAACTAGTTACCCAGTAGTTCATTATTTATTCTTTAAAAAACAAAACTGGACAGAAGGCATGAACCATCTGGACAACACTGAGTTATTTTTCAGGTACATTTATTGATGTCCAGAAAAACTCTCTTGGAGTAGCACCTTACAGCCTTCTTTTCAGTTTATCAATTCTAATTCCCAGTTTCCACAATGTCAACTACAGTTTAAAGAGTTTTCTCCTTTTCCAGAGAGCATATTAATAATTGCATCAGGTGGAACATGTTTTCTATAACAGCCATTACAACTGAAGGCAGAAAAAAAGTCAGGTTCCTGTAATTGTACCATCAGAACCCCTGCCTATTGCAGAAGCCCCGTGACATTTTTATAAAGGGACAATACTCTTGTCGGACTTTTCCTTCTTTTAATGGGGGGTGGGGGGGTGGAGAGAGAGATAATATTAATCTGGCCAGATCCCGTCCAGGTCAAGACCTTTTGCATAACCTGTGAGAAAAACCCACTCCCAAATCAAGAGCCAGATTGGCATGAGCTGAAAATATGATGATGTTCGTAGAAAAATGAAGTCCCTCAATCCTTAACAAACAGAAGATTTAGAATGCCTCTGTGCATCATTGTAATTCTAGGTACGGTGAGGTCTGATTAAGTGGAGAACGAAAATAAAGGGCAAACACTTAGCTCGCTCCTGCCCGAAGAAGCCCAGTGTGATGCTGCGACATCAGCTTTCTGTTTATCCCTAAGGCTGGCACAGCAACGGCTTCGAAGTTTGATGGTGTCTTTTTTTTTTTCTTTAATTCTTTCTTTTTTCTTTCTATTTTTTCTCTCTCTAAAGATGTTGAGCAGCAGGCTAATGGGTCCCCAGCAGGGTGCAAAGACAGCAGAAAGCACGGGAATCAGATGTCAATGTATTCCTTGGAGATACCCTGCCAGGCCAGAGCTAACTGAGCAGGCGTTAGTCCTCTCTCGGGGAACACGCTTTGCTGGTTCCCTGCCCACTCTGGGCTCCCTATATGCTTCCTGATTAAAATGCTGTCACAGATAAATCATGACTTCTGCCTATTAGGAGCATTTTCTACTTTTTTTTTTTTTGAAAGGAAAGTTTGGAAGCTTAAGATTAAAAAGATGAGCAAGTTCTAAAGAATGACATACTTGCCTAGAAACATGTCATATTACGTAACTATCTGCATCTGGGACTGTTCTTTGCTGGTTCCTTCCTTACCCACTGCTTTATCTCTATATTTCTATGTATTTTCTGTCAATGACTTTCAGTCAATCACTAGATTACTGGAGTAACTTCTTAATGAATAGATTTTTGGGGAGAAAGGGTTCTCGTTGTTTTACCTCAACATACTCACAAATCGGCTGGAAACTGAAGTTGTCCCTGAGACGAGCGTTTCAATTTTAAATGTAATGGGCATCCACAACCGGTATGCTTTGTGTGAGTTCCCACCTCAGCACACAAACAAGTAGCCCTTCAGGCATCCAAGAGCAGCTATTGTCTTTACGCTTAGCTTGGAGGAGAGACAAAACTCAGCAAACTGGAGCTCAAGCGGCGAGTGCGTGATCTATTAATGTTTTGATATTTGACAAGCAAGACCCCTTCAGAACCATGAAGTAAAACCGAGTTACCCAGTGTAGTCAATGAAGTAAAAAGCTGTATTAAAACCATGTTTGTACCTACTGCCCAGTTGCATTTCCACCTCCCTTCCTCCCAACCCACCCAACAAGCTCTGGGTTCTGCCTGCCCTACAGCAGCACCCAGCCTCCAGGGTGGCGTGCCCACCAGACAGCAAGCATCTCTCCACGCTGCTCCACCTGCAAGGGGGTTCCAACTGTCTATTTATGTAACCTCAGGCGCTACATGGGGTTTCCTGCCACCGAAACCTGCCCACCTTTAGGTCAGGACCCTGGCCATGAAAAGGGACATTCTTTGTCTCAGGTATACTATTCTATATCCTCTCGCTCTATGCCCAGACTGATTTAGCAAGGCCACAGTGGATCTTTGTGCTCTATGATTCAGGCCATATCATTTCAGACCAATCACATGGGAGATTCCTGCCACCTGCACACTTTTCCATTTGCCTTCAATTCTCTCAGACTCTTTATTACTCCAACTTCATGTTCAAAACCACAAACTGGCCTTTCAACAACAGCTCGAGTTCTTGCAGACATTTTGCTTTGTGACTAGTGTCACATCAGTGAGATTCCTTGCTCGGTGAGTCATTTCCTTCAAATTTTTTGTCTTTGCGCTAATGGTGATTCCTGTCCACTGACTGATTCCATTTTAGCTCTGAAGCACCAACAGTTAATGCGCTATAAGGAAAAACTCACTGCATGAGATTGAACAAAATAGGGACCCAATTTAGAGAGGATACTTAAAATCACTCTACAAAGTTTCAGTTTGCAGGCTCTTTGAAATGTTGGCTTTACCACCTCATAAAGAATTTACAAATGAAATCTATGAGAACGTTTTTAAAAATGAGTGATGATAAGGAATTTGAAAAAGAATGTGATTTTCATGCTTTGTTAACCGAGAAGATACAGCAGCAGGTATAAATATGTACTTTTATATACAGCTCCTTCCACAGTCCTCTTTAGAGTGTAATGACGCGCCCCACTTAGTTTAGTAAGAAAAGGCTGTAGAAGAACGATCCAGCAGACGTGGAATGGGGCAGTGGAAAGGCCATCACACCAAAGCCAAAGCCCTGGAGGAGCGAGACACAACTCTAATTTGGTGGGAGTGTCACTTAACATTTCTCTATGTTAATTTCCTGTGGATAAAAATAGCAGGTGTATCTAACGTTACAGATAAGTAGTCAAGTAAAACAGATGTGAAAAGTCAGGAATGATAGAATGATGCGGTACTCCCTAAATTCTGGAAATTGCTACTTTCAGTTTAAATCCAAGTAACTTCCGTTTTAACCTGAGGCTTTCAAAGTATTCAATAGGAACTGTAAGATAAGCCCAAATGATTATAAGTCAGTAATGAAACAATTATAATTACAGTGACATGGAAAAGCATATGAGAGTCCTTTCTAGCATTTACTGTAATCACATAGGAAGGCTGTGTTGACTTTTGGTTCATTCCAAAGTAGCTTTGCAAACCAGTACCCAAAGTTTATCAGCTCCACACAGATGTGTTTTCATCCTCCTAAACTTTACCCACATAGAAGGAATTTATCAATTGTAAGAATAATTTATTCATCCCATTTATTGCCTACATGTGCACAGGAAACTGCATAACATAAAAAAATAACTCAACACGTATTGTCAAGGTCAATTTAGCAAAGGAAGATACACTTGACCCAACGGCGATGAGCTTTACACAGAGGGGGCCCAGCCTATTCAGAGACACCGGAGGATCGAGGATGGTGGAGCACACAGGAAGAAGACAGAGTGGAGGACTCTCTTAGAATACAAGGGTACATCATTCTTGATTTTTTTTCCATCTGATCTTTCATTATTAAATAAAAGAACACTCTATTTCATTTATAACTAAAATAATCTATTTTAGATTATTTTAAACTTTGATTTTATAATATCATGTATTTAATGGATAGCATAAAACAAAAAACGAATTTACTTTTGTTATTTGTAATCATTAAAAAATTACATTTCCGTCTTCAAGACAGTATTCTAAGGTCTTTGTTTTTTTTTTAGGGTAATGTGACAGGGCTCAGCAGTTCCTAAAAGTACAGAAAACGAAGTGGTAGATAAGCCTGAAACTTAATGATGGTGAGGTCCTTAAAAAACAATACTGTGTTTTTAATGGAGTTACACAGAGTGAGAAAGTAAAGCGGTTTTGCTTTCCCTGCATGTGTTTCTCATTTGAAGTTAGAAAAGAAGTTCAGTCTGATTGAGCTAGGTGGGGGGTAAAGAGCTCTCCAGGTTTTACACTTGAAAGCAAATGCTTGGAAGTAGAATTAAAAGCCAATGTACACTAAACTGTGAGTTAACTGGTGCCAGCCCTAAACTATACTCTAAAAGTGGAGTGTGAACATTCAAAGCTGATGGCATCTGTCTCCTTGCCAGGAGCCTTCCCAAACACTGGGCAGCAGAGCTAGGAACCATGAGTACACCTTTTGCTCAGAAGTCAGTGGTCTCTGTGGTGGGCATTTGTCACATGCATCTCAGAGGGGCAGACTTTTAAGATGCAAGGTGCTTCACAAAACTCCATGACCCAGACCATGGGGTCAGGGCAGAAAACCATGATTCATGAAATCCTCATGTCTCTCGCGATATTAATAAAAGTAAAAGAAAAAAGTGAAAAAGATTTCCATGGTCAAATGTTTGAGAAATTCAGAGTTAATCAAGGTTTAACAAATTTCTTTCCTGAGGGACTTCTCTGAGCCTTCATTCAGTATTTTGATGTGCAGGGGAGTTTCCCTAGTTATCGGGCCTGAGGGCCCTTTTGGAAGAGATACCTATTAGGCTGAGGCTGGATACGTATGTACCATGGGGCACAGTTTGGGAAACACGGAGAAAAACATTATGATCCCTGATTTACAGTTGAGGCCATGGAGATTATGTCCTAGAAAAAGAACTCAGGTCTCAGGCCTTCTAGGACCAACTTTTCCCAGGGGATGGTCAGAAAAGATAAACTGTAGCTGTAACTCTTAGAAACATATATACCATGAAGGGTCTCCTAAAACTAAGGCTTCTGAAAGTACGGTACGTACGTTTCTGGCTCAGGCATGACGCACAGACCCTCTCAAATCATGGACGGGTGAGTACCTGATACAGAGGCATGCAGATGCTATCAATCCACTCCAGCTGCAACCGGGGCAGTTCATCTTTCCGGTTCCGATCAAAAATAGCCTAGAACAAAGGAGGAGAACCTTGCTTTAATACACCGGAGTATTTTACAGGTGCTTTGTCTAACGCTTTGCCGCAATGATCCAATGGTTACTAACTGAACACTTCACAAATCACAATCAATCTTTACATGTACTTTCTTTTCCTGTTATCTGTGATGGGAAATAAAGTATTTCGTCGCTTTTTATGAGATTTGTAAGCGAATCTACTTGAACTTTTTAGCGCGCAACTCATTGGGGACTAAATCTGTCTTCAGATACAGGTGACTGCCACTAAATCAAGCCACCAGGTCACTGGGAATTGGGTACAAGTCAAGGGGAAGGGGATATGTTTTATTGCCAGAAAAATAATGCAGGTTTTTATTTTTATGGTGAAAGAGGGTGGGATAGGCTGGAAAAGATCCTTCAAAGCAATCTCATTTTAAAAAGAAACTATTTGTATTAATTTTTCAGGGTAAGGCATTGGTTTGGCAAATCTGTGTATTTTTCAATAAGGTTTGTCTGTCATTAATAAGTTCCTAATTTTTTATCAATCATTGGATGGATGATGGTGGAAGGTACCTATCTCTCTTCATTCCCACCCAGCCTTTAAACCTTAGAATGTTATAATGTTTGAAAAATTAGGTATAGTTTTGAGAAAAAGAAGTGACACATTTCTGTTGGCAGACATAAAAAGGGAAACAATCCGTTGCAACTGGAGGGCTAAAATGGATTCCTTGAACAAACACTGCCAGTAATACTCCAGTGAGAATGTCCTTCCATTTGTTCCTAAGGACTAAGGCCAGGGTCTTACCCTGCCTTATGGTCTTTCTTCTACATAAAATGTGCCATCCACATCATTCTGGCATTCACATAGGTCCTGAGGGCAGACTTGAGACATTCCTTTGGTCCAGAGATGCTGAAACCCCTGCATCCTTCCGCCTTATGAAAAAGGGCGGTGTGGGTGGGGCAGGAATCACTAGCTGCCAAAGCTCATGAGAAGGCAGAAGGGCACTGCTGAGGAAAATATCTCCAAATTATGGGGAAGGTCACTGACTCCCGCAGGCCCTGCACATCCTCGCCTTGCAATGTAAAATGTTAATTAGGAAAGAGGGTTAGAATTTGAAGAGGACTGTGAAATATGCTGGAGAAACGGTTGTTGGGGAACTGCATGAGTCTTGGTCCAAAATCTTCCTTTAAAAAAATTATTCTGTTTTACCTTTTCTACAGCTCTCATTGTTATCAGCAATTTTTAAATTTATTTAATTACTCTGTTTCTGGTGCATAGTATACAGTTATCTTTTAGAAAGTTCAGAGGTTTCTAGTATATTCACAATTAGTTGCACAGCTATTAACAGTCAATTTCAGAACATTTTTATCACCCTAAAAAGAAATCCCATACCTATGAACAGTCAGCCCTCATTTTCCCACAAAACCCCCAGCCTTGGGCAACCACTAATCTACTTTCTATCTCCATAGATTTGCCTATTCTGCACATTTCATATAAATAGAATCATATGCTATGTGGTCTTTTGTGACTGGCTTCTTTCACTTAGCATAATGTTTTCAAGGTTTATTCTTACAACATGCATCAGCACTTCATTTTTATTGCTAAATGATATTCTATTGTACAGATATACCATATATTATTTACAGGCTCATCAATTGATGGGCATTTGGGTTGTTTCCACTTGGAGCTATTACGAATAATGCCGCTATGAACATTCATGTACAAGTTTTTGTTTGGATATATGTTTTCATTTCTCTTGGGGATATACCTAGAGGTAGAACTGCTGGGCCCTGTGCTATGGTAACTCTAATGTTTAACATTTTGAAGATGTGCCGAACTGTTTTCCAAAGCAGCTGCATTATTTTGCATGCCCATCAGCAATGTATAAAGTTCCAATTTTTCCACATCCTTGCCAACTCTTGCTATCATCTGCCTTTTTGTTTATAGCCATCTTAGTGGGTGTGAAGTGGTATCTCACTATGCTTTTAATTTGTATTTCCCAGATTACTAATGATTTTGAGCATCTTTTCATGTGCTTATTGGCCATTTATATACATATATATATATATATATATATATATATATATATATATATATATTCTTTGAAGAAATGTCTATTCAGATCCTTTGTCCATTTTAATAATTGGGTTATTTGTCTTTCTATGGTTAAGTTGTAATAGTTCTTTATATATTATAGATACTAGGTCCATACCAGGTATATGGTTTGCCAATAATTTCTCCCATTCTGTGGGTTGTCTTTTTAATTTCTTGATAGTGTCCTGTGACACATAAAGTTTTAATTTTTATGAAGTCCAGTTTATCTATTTTATCTTTTGTCTCTTGTGCTTTTGGTATTATATATAAGACATCATGGTCAAATCCAATCCAGAAGATTTATACCTTGTTTTCTTCTAAGTTTTACAGTGTTAGCTCCAACATTCATGTCCAGGATCCATTGTGAGGGTATTTTGGGGTATGATGAGAGACAGGGTTCCAACTTCATTTGCATATGATATCCCTGCACCATTTGGTGAAAAGACTATTTTTTTCCCCATTGCATTGTCTTGACGCCCTTATCAAAAATCAGTTGTAACTGTAAGGGTTCATTTCTGGACTAGTCACTTCTGAATCAATGTTTGATGAGTGGGAGTATAAAAGAACACACTGTCCTGTGCTTTCCCTTTATAGCATTCTGCATCTTGGAATTGATTCCTATGATTAGTTCTTTAATGTCTCTATTTCCCACCAGTTGACAAGCTTTCTGAGGGCGAGGAAGATAGTGCCATGCTTATGGCTGGATGCACAGTGCCAAGCTTCACGCTTGGTACCTGGAGGTGCTCAAGCATGCTCTATTAACTGATTCACTGATTCTACTATTAACCCTTTGGCTGTGGTTCAGATGAGCCTTTGTCTTCATCAAGTTACTCTGATGACCTTTAGGGCCATGACACCTGAAGGTGGCGCCTGGACAATTTTTTCCCTAAATATCAAGGAATAATGGACACAGTAGGTGTAGGCTCTGGATGCATGCATTTCTAAACATTCTTTGGAAGAGGACTAATGAAGGATACTTCTGCCACAGCAGCCAGCAGCCAGTCATCAGCTGTGTTAACTAGCCCTTTGTGAGGAGAGAGGAGCATTTAGAGCTACTTTCCAATTCAAAATCAATTTCATTTATGTCTTCAGGAAACTTACATCTGCCTTACCTGCGCCTGCAGAAAAAGTCTCCTCAGTGCTGAGTCACGGCCCCTGCCAACTTACCAATGCTGGCAATGGACTCATATGTCTTTCATTTATTGGGTTGTCAGAAAAGTCATGACGCATTTTTGCAACGAAAAACATAGAAAAACACGTCATGGCTTTTCTGACAACCCAATAATTAAATTACCTGTGGTATTGCCGCATTGTAAACCCTTCAGAGGATGCCTCTGAAACACGTTTTTTAAAGAAGGGGTAAGCTTTTATTTGAAAATAGATAGATAGCTGAAAGAAATTTGGGTTGTACTAGGTTTTACACATTAACTGTGTTTTCCAATCTAGTATCTTTATTTTTATAACCAAATTTGGTGACACCACCAAAAAAAGAATAAAGGTATGTTTTGAAAACAGTATAAATAGGTGTTGCTTTGGAAACTAAAATAATTGGCGAGTGTTATAACCTATGTAATCTTCTGACCTTTCATAGGTAAGCAACAAATTAAGAATTGTCAAAATTAGGAAGACTGTCAGTTCTGACTTCAAATAGGTGAAACTATTTAAGCTAGGAGCTAGTTCTGCTGCTTTTCCATGCTGTTAAATGTCAGCAATGAAACGTGTGCTAAACTTAAAGATCTTATAAATACCTCCCAATGTTCAAAACTCAGTTGATTTGAATCCACATAAACAGATATTCTTGACAACTGACACATTTCTTGAGCTTCATTGAATGTGCTGTGTTGCGCCAGGCATGAAAACACTTTGCATCATTCTTAAGAGTTGTTAGATTTTTAGCTAACCATTCATTAAAAACAAAGAGGCTGCTCCCTTCTTGAGGGTAGTGACCAAGGCATTATATCTTTTGTATCCTGATGAATAAAAACAGCATCATCCTGAGCCAACAGTAAGCATTTCCAAATAATAATTCAACGGATTAATTCAACGTAAACAGCATTTCAAACAGCAGAACCTAGTTCCCCAGGTGAAACTTTTCATTTTGCAAAGACAAGAAACAGACTGGAAATGATTTGCTTTGGAGATTTCAGAATGTTTAAAATTGGAAAATAAAATCTACTTATGGCAGCTCTCTGTTCGAGCACCTCAAGTCTGGATAGCTTGTCTTTAATTTCTTTTTCTGTGTTTCTATTCCAAAGTAGCCATTGACCGCATCTGAAATGCCAGCACTGGGCTTTGAGTTATTCAAATGCCACTCTGCACCTCCTCCCTTGTGCCTACTTGTCCCCCTGTGGGTGCTCAGGAAATTCTTGTTAAGTAGCTCATCGCTCTTAATCAGAAACCTGGGAATAAGAGTGTTTAGCATCTAAGTTTAATTAAAGTTTTAAACTTTCAGGAGTGCTTCCTTAAATCCATTCTCAGCCTTTCCCATTTTCAAGTTATGATTTGGAGTCATTTTAAAAAATGTCATTCAAAAGAGTAAAGGCGTCATAATAAAAGGATGAACTTACTGAAGGAGTGAGTTTGAGTTCTGATCTCTCCCGATCTCCTTGTTCGAAGAACTCACTGGTTACAAGTTCAGCCACCTGAAACATATAAATATTTTAATTTATTGGTATGTGTAATTTATCATGAGACTCAGAAGTTATTTCTGGCTTATGTGTATGGCAATTATCTTCAACACAGACAATCATTTAAAAAGATTACAAGGAAGTACATTAACCTTCTGTGTTTGGTGGTATTGCAGAATTTAATCAATGAAACTGATTTCCTTTTAATCAGAACATGTGCAATGTATTTTTAAATGCATGCCAATGTATAATTTCCAACAGCGTAGCTTGTATATTTGGGGTGAGGCACTTACATTGCCACCTTCGAAGTAGAAATGTTCTTATCCAGAAAAAATGAAGCAAAGAATAGCCTAATAATAATTTATGTTATTGTATTATAGTATATTTGTAATAATAATTTAGTCCATTTTTGGTTGTTTCTATGTAGATTTGTTTACATTGTTGCATACTTTTATTTTACCCTTGTTTAATCTTGCCCTCACGAAAGCTCCTGAACCGCCTCGCCCTACAAACATCTGTGTGTACTCTGGACAGGGTAACTGCAGGGCACAGCTCTGCTTCCTACTGGAGCAATCAGTCAAGGGGCGGGGCTAATGCTGGATTCACTGTTCCTAGCAGACTTTTACAGTACACGTATGTCATGATACAGTTTGAAGAATGTGATCTGCTCTGCAGGCCATCTGAGTCCGTGTACTAAAAGCACTCATTTATGGTAGATTCTAGTTGGTACAAGCACAATGGGATGTCTGTTCTACCCTAAACCATAGATATTTTTCCTAAGTAAGGACCTGTATTTTTCCACTCTTCCTCCATCCTTGTGTGGATGATTGGAAGCTATTGTTCATGGTCAGCCTAAAGAGACTTGTTTCTTCTCCAAGCCCTGTGCTTCTAAGGATAGCTTTATGGGAAGCAAACTAATATAACAGATAAGTGACGAGCAGGTATTTTCAACAGCACTGTGGTGTGCATCTAGGAAATGTCTGAGATGAACTAGCTGCATTGACAAAATAGTAGAGAGCAGAAAACAATCCTAAACAACTCATGGCAAGAAGATCTGGATCTCCAGACTAATTTTTCCCTATTCCAGGCTTTTGTAAAGATGAGGTTCTTAGGCCTGGCAAAGGTTTAATTTTGGTTAAATGCACATAATCCAGATAATTCATCTAAGTGTATCTTTCAAGAGCTTTTGTCAACTATAAATTGATGAAACGTAAAAACATCACACACACACACACACACACACACACACATACACACAGAGACAAATTTGAGAGTAGCAAGTATAAAGTCATTTATAAAGATGTTCGGATTTAAAATTTTTTTTTAATTCAATAGCATAAAACTTGCTCTGACACAGGACAAAGCACTTAGAAGGAAAAATGTTTCTGCATTGATATTTTACACAAGTGGCCACCTGTAGGGGGTCTCCTGTCTTCGCCTGTCTTCTTGGTCACTGATGTAAGTATTATTTTATTTTTCGGATGTGAACCTCTGCTGATGAGTGCAGAAACACAAGAGTTCAAGGAAATAAAACACAAAAGCTTTTGTTTTCCCAAATGCTTCTATTAGAATCTTGTCGCAACTCTGAACTGGACATATCATTTGTGTTCTCTAGGACTTGATTCACTTTTCTCCCCTCTAATCTCTGCCACTCCTTTTCCCTTTGGCACTCCAGGCCTCCTTCTTCCTGTCTCTGGCCTTTAAAAAGAAGGAACGGTTCCCTAAAGGCCTGGCCCTTATTTATTCAGTTTCCAGAACTCTCCCTCAGATTGCTCTGAAGTGGGTCTTCTGCATTAAAGAATACAAATATGCAATCAGGTCACCCCAGAGGTGGGAGTCCTGCATAGGTCTGTAGCTCCTGGAAAGCAAAGAAATTAAAACAAAACCCTGTCCTTGATCTTTCTGAAGCAGTCTGGGTATCTCCGCTGTGCTTCTTTCACAGCTCAACTTGTACCACTGTTTTGTTTGTACTTAAAAACCCAATCGGGAACACTAAGTGGCTCCTGATTGAATTTTTTATTAAAGAAGGATATTGAGATGCTAATCAGGCCTTGGGGGATCAGTGGGGAAACCCACATGCTTAGAATCATGTTTATGAGGAAGGAAAAGTGGCAGAGACACCAGTGAAAAAAACATTTTGAAAGCTAATTTTAAAAAATCAACATCCAAGAAATTAGAAATGTATTTATATTTTTATAAGAAGTTTCCATTGTTTTTGTCCAAATGTTTCCTGAAATTATAGACGTGATTATGTTTTTGAAAATACATTATTAACCTATTCAATTTGGAGACAAACACAAATGAGATCTCCAGTTCAGAGTCGTGACAAGATTTCTGATGGAAGCATTTGGGAAAACATGGCTTTGTGTTCTATTTCCGTGAGCTCTTGAGTTTCTGCACTTAAGAGCAGAGTCTCATATCCTTAAATAACAACAACAACAACAACAACAATAATAATAATACTTATATCAGTGACCCTGAAGACAGGCGACCACCTACAAGTGGCCATTTGCTTCTTTGGTCTAAAACATCAATGCAGACACTATTTTCCTCCCAAGTACTTTGTACTGTCACTTTCCCACCCCCAAGTGGGCTGCTTGTACTTTAGTTCTTGACATGCATTTCACTGAAGGCCTTGGCACACCATGCCTCATTCCACGCCCTTTCCCGTCTTCTCTGTTTCCCCCCAGGTCCCCCTAACTCTCTCCCACTCTCCACCCCACTTCCCTTCCATCCCTCTTAGGGCCACCCGCTGTGCTACACTTTGCCCCAATACCTGGAAGAGCCACCTAACTCTTCTTTGCTGCTTACTCTCAGACTTTACTGCAAGGGAGGCTGTCCCACACCGGGGAAGTGAAGGGTGGGCAGAGCTGTAGAAATAAGCTACTCAGCCACACAAATTCTTCACCATTACCCTGCTTTAGGTAAGTTCAAATATGTCACACTAAAATGAAGACCAAAGCTCAGCTGGAAGAGAGCTATTTATTGAAGGAAGGTTCTATAGGGACTGTCCAATCTACACTGCGCTGGGATGTGAGCAAGAAATAAACTTCTATTTGTGTTAAGGAACTGAAATCTGTTATTGCAGCAAAGCCTAGCCTAGCCTTGATTAACACAAAAATTGGTATGAAAGTAAGGTGCTGCCATTAGAAAGAAAGCGGAGGGGGAGGGAAGAAAAAAATAGAAAGAATGGAGAAGTCCCTAAAATATGTGATATTAGCTTGGCGACCAGCTATAAAATAGTGAGGAGCTGGTTGTTAGAGGCTGTAAGGAGGAGGATCCGTTACACAGTGGCAAAATATTTTGCCCGGTTCTTCCTGAAATAAAGCAAATAATGTATCTAATGAACTTACAGCCTTAGGGGAAGAGACTGGAAACCAAAATGTTAGTAGCCTGTGACAGTAGCTGTGACTGTGTTTTGCTGGGTGTTACAAGAAGTGAGCTCAGAAAAGGATTGGCAGGTTTATAACCAGGAATGAAAGGGAACAGAGAAAGTCCCAGATTCAGGGTCTCCTAGGGAGGAAAGACGAAGCTGCTTCTTAACCCCAGACTGTAAAAATAAAAATTGAGATATGTTTTGAATGACAAAGGCTGATAAAGACAGCCTTCCAACAAGAATCAAATGGAAGGTATGGCCAGTACATCCATGATTAAAACCTCAGAATGAATCAGGTGGTACACAAGACATTCTTTCAACTGGACAAAATGGCCCGGAGAAATGATTTAACTACATGGTCTCTCATTGGCACCTATTAGGTCCAAAGGGCTAGGAATGAGAGAGAATGAAAGATGTATATATACATATTTCTTTGCTCCTGAATATTAGAAAGCAAAGAAATACAGATCTGAACAGTTTGTATAGAACAGAACTGTGGTTGTGTCTATTGTGTCAAATGGAAATAACTAGAATCAAAGACTTAAGAAGCTGAGCAGATGTTTAAGAGAATTTTGGTGCCAAATTAACCACAAGTCTGTGACTACTTGAAACTTAAAACAAGCCCCCTCAACTTTCTTTAGGTGGGAAGCAGGCTGAAAAATTGCTTGGCCTTCAGATATAGCCAAGCAGAATAATGAAAAGGAATAAGTTCCCAGGGTGGATCTAAAGGCCACGGAAAATAATGAACGTGGGGGCCTCTCCCAGAGAATCAGGCCCAGCACGGAGTAGAGGACCCTCACAGTAAATGCCCAGGGGGATTTTGGAATTGCTGTGGATCCCTAACTGCCAAGCGTTGTCATCTCATCCCTTTCTGAACGGAGTGTTGTAATGAGTATTTTGTGGTTTGGGTGTATGTTAGACGCTATATTGTGGGTGTGTGTAGTTTTTTAATGTGCATCCAGGCCTGATGTAGAAACCAGCACATATCACCCAGAGATCCTGGACTTGGAGCTTGAGACCACGATTTAGGGGACATTTGGGTCATCTCCCTTGGGGAGAGGATGAGCATGTTTTGCCTGCAGGAAGGAGAGTGAGTCATATTTTTGGCAATTAAAAGGGCAAATTTTGGTAGTCATGTTTTCATCAACTATTCTGGCTTTCTACTTTCTGGGCACATGGAAGGATTACACAAAGGGGTGCTAAAAATGTATACACATAGTAAGAAAGGAAAAAACTATTAAAATTGTAATAACATATACTGATAACAAAAGATGAATACAAGTCACGTTTGACTTCTGCAATTACAAGAGGTGCTCAAAGTGGTTCCCATCAGCATTCGGATACTTCTGACCAAGGCGAACTACTGCTTGAGCAATGCTGACCAAAGTGTCCACTTGTACACATTTTTTTTGGCACTCCCGGTATTTCCTGCTTAGGTGGGGTTTTGTGACAAGTTCTTGCCAACAATCGGTTGGGAGGGAGGCACTTAACTGCCAGTGCTAGATCCTTCAGAGCCTCTGCTGGCATGATCCAGATGGTGGCTGCTCCTTCAGTCCCAGGTCAGAATGAGGACAAAGAGGTGCCAGCCCACCCTGGATGAACACATCGGGAACCTTTTGCTGGTTTAAGTCGCTGAGATTTTGGGTTTAGTGATCACATTGCCTATTCTGCTGACATACTTGCATCACTTAGAACTGCTGACTGATGCACCCTGTGTAAGAAAGCATAAAGCTCTGTGAAGAATGAAGGCTTGGGAGCCTAATATGCTAGGATTTGAATACCTCGCTCTACCTCTTATGAGCTGTATGACCTCAGGTTACTTATCCTCTCTAAGCCTCATTTTCCCCATTTGTGAAACAGGGATAATCACTGTATTAGTTTCCTGGGACTGCCATAAATGACCACAAACTTGGTTGTTTAAAGCAACAGGAAGTTATTCTCTTACAGTCCTGGAGGCCAGGAGTTTAATGTCAGTTCACTGGACAGAAAGCAAAGTGCTGGCAGGGCCACCCTCTAGGGAGGCTCTGGGGGACAACTGGTCCTTCTCCTCTTCCAGTTGCTGGTGGCCGCCAGCATCCCCTTGCTCTCGCTGCATCACTCCAGTCTCTGCCACGTGTCACATCACTTTCTCCTCTCCTGAGTGTATCATCTCCCTGTGCCTCTCTCTTATCACAACATTTCTGGTAAGATTTAGGGCTCACTGGGATAACCCAGGATAATGCTGATGATACTGACAATGATGGTTCTTAATCATATCCTCAAGGACTCCGTTTCCTTCTAAGGTAACGTTTACAGGTTCCAGAGATTAGGGCCTGATACCTTTGGGTTGCCATTGCTCAGCATCCTACAGTAACTACACTTACCTCAAAGGGGGTTTTGAGGATTTACCGTAGTTCCCCATGTATAAGACTCACCCTGTTTCGAAAAATTTGGGGTCTAAAAACTGGGTGCGTCTTATACAGTGGTTGTAGATTTTTTTACTTGCATTTCCCGCTTTTTTCGTGCTTGTTTTTGCGCTCATTGTTGTAGATTTTTTTATGCATTTCCTGCTTTTTCGCGCTTGTTGTCTTTGCGCACATTGTTTCGCACTTGTTCCTGGTATATTACAGTAGGTTACTGAGGACGAGGCAATACATGAAGACAGTGATTCGTCATCAGACACAGATGAGGACAAGCTAATGGTTGGGAGTTTTGACAGTGATGAGGAGTTGTATGAATTTTATGATGAATAAAACTTGAGTNGTGGCATTTCAAATGTCATAGGTGGAACTGAGGACGAGGCAATATATGAAGACAGTGATTTGTCATCAGACTCAGATGAGGACAAGCTAATGGTTGGGAGTTTTGACAGTGATGAGGAGTTGTATGAATTTTATGATGAATAAAACTTGAGTTCAATAACTTGATGTAATACATTTTTTTTCAAATTTCGGGCCCTCAAATTAAGGTGCGTCTTATACATGGGGGTGTCTTATACATGGGGAAATGTGGTAAATGATATACTACAGATAAAGCAGTCATTTTATACTATTTACTATTCAATCAACAGTATTAGCTATGCATTGTCATATGAATGTATTGTATTTCCCTAAAATGTCAAGTCTTAAGATACTAAGTTCCTATTTTAGACACTGCTGCCCACACACTAGGTGCTGCATAAAACTTAAAAGAGGTATTAGTTTCAAGAACTATCAGTAATCAAGGATCTTAAACTGTATATTGGTTGTCAGAAAAGTCATGACACAGTTTTGCAACGAAAAGCATAGAAAAAATATGTCATGACTTTTCTGACAACCCAATAGTTACAGTTTGAAAACTATTCTTGCTTTAGAACGAACACTTTTTGGCAGTGAAACCAGATAGATGGTAAAGGCATGATTTCTGCATACAAATTAATCTGTATACTGTGCAGTTTGGCCAAATAACCCTGTGATCTCTAAATAGTCTTTAAAGGGAAATAAAACAGAATTTCCTTTTTACCGCCTTGGTTTTTTTTTTTTTTCAGACGTAAAAAACCCAAACCTTGTGCTAAAACATGATTACCTATTCAAAAACACTATTTTTTGGAACTCTTGCCTTCAGAAATGGTGAAAGTGTTATTTGGATTTAGTGTGTTAAAAAAAAATCTTACAGAGTCAGAAATATTATTAGTCAGTGGAAGTACGATAAAGAAAGGCTGTGCAAAAAGCTGTGTGGAGCCTAAGCCTCCTGCTATTTTTTACACCATGTTAATACTGATGCAAATTGACTAGGGTTTCAGAGCCTGAGAGTGGGGGCTCTGGGAATATTGTCCCCCCCACCCCCAGTCCCTCCTCTGCTGAGCCCTGCCATTAATCACCACTTGCCTGTCTCGAGATCTCCCACGGTTTGGTCACGGCTCCAAGGTCACAGGCTGTCATTAACATTGATCTGAAAAACAGAACCAAACAAAACAGCCTGAATAATCTTTTGTTGCATTCCTAAACAAACCTGTCCTAGATACATAAATAAATAAAATGTGGCTAAAGCCAGCTCACATCTTCTTTGCCTCCACAAGGGTAGCACTGTTTGTGGTCCCCATGTTTGGCATCTCCATCCTGTGGCCACACGGCTTAGGGAAGACAAAGCTAGCACACATCCCCGGTGGCCCTTTTGTTTTGTCTGCAGCAGATCAAGGAAAGCTAAGCACGGCTTCTCTCTGTACCTGAGCTAAGCAAGCTCTGCCTACAATAATTTGTAACGGACATTGCTTTTTATTTTTAACTATCAGCAAGGGAATCGGTATATAATACTATATATATACATAGCTGATGAATCTATTTACCAGCTTACCACTCATTGATAAGAACGGAAAGAAATCTACACCAAAGAGGCAAGGCACACGCCATGTTAGCAGCTCCTTTTTCCTCTGCTCTGTGGAGCTAAGAAGTATGGGTGAAAGCTATACTGTTTCACTCCAGTTTACTACCTGGCTACAACCATGTTTTATAAGCATTATGAAGACACATATTCAGCTACAGCTTTCATTAATTTGAGCATGTAAGAAAGCACAGGAAAGATCTGAATCAGATTTTTGAGGGGCAGGTTTCTATTGGGTTTAACTAGAATTCACACTGAACTGGGGATTCAGAAACAGGGAGTACAATTGAAACTGTAGAGAGCTCTGGTGTTTATAATTTGATGTGGTGGGAGGCGGGGGAAAATAAGACACACTCTTTGTCCCCAGTCTGTTTTCTTTGTACTCAAAGTAGCAGTTGGTGATGAAAAGTGGTGACAGATCTGAGCTGGGAAACCACATCTTGGCTAACTCCTTTTGGAAGAAAGGGTGTGTTGTTAAAGGTCAGAGGGCTGTCCTGATGTCAGGTGTTAACATTTCATACCCCACCAGAGTCCACTGCCTTGGAAACATGTCTGCTTCCCAGATGACAGAGCGTGCCTAGGTGGTAGTGGGGTTTGTGTAACTTCCCCAAGAAACCCCTCCAGGGAGCAAGGCAGAGTGGCAGATAACAATAGATCATTCAGAGCACCACCAGGCACACCAGCATCAGCAGCTCTCTCACTGAAGCCAGGCAGCGTCTAGTGCCCAAACCCCTGGGCTAAGTAAGCGCTATGAAGAGAGATACATCGGTCTATTCTTCAATTTTCCGTCTTCTGTAATAAGCGCTTCTGCAGTGCATGGTGCCTGCTTCTGAACTAGGTGCTTTCCAACTAACTACTAATTCCTTACTACACGAATCCTCATCATAACCCTCGGAAGTGGGTGCTCTGATTCCTATTTTACAGAGAGGTAAATGGAAACACGGAGAGGTTAAGTCACTGTCCCAAAGCGAGGAAAGCATTCAGGATTCTGTGCTTCTCACAAAGCTACCAGACCCGCTCTTGCTATGCTCTGATCCTTCTCATCTTAGGATCTGCTGGTACCAGAGCGAGACAAGACTGCAAGTAATGCACTGGACTTTGCAGTCTCTCTCCTGGACAGGAAGTAATCTCTGTGAGGTTGCCTACTTGTACTATAACTCGGATAATTACTTAGGGTCTGTTTGCTTGATAATTTGAAGCTTACTTCTCAAATTCATATTCATATTGCCATTAATCAGTCAATCAATAAGTTTATTGATCTGTTAGGTAGTCAGATGATGATAATTCTATAGTTATATTTATTGAGCAGGCACAACAGGGTGATTTACATCATCTGCATGTGAGGTAGGAATATCATCTCCATTTTACAAAGCAAATAGTGCTTTGCGTTCCTTGATCAGAGACTGTAGAGAGAGTGCCCGAGGTTACACAGCTAGGAAGTATCAAAGAGAGGATTAGAATCCATAAAGTCTGACAAAAGAGTCTCTACTTTCAATGAATATATTTTACAATGGAGCATAAAGTGTATATAGAGAAAAAAGGCAGGAAAAGGCTGGGAGGGAGGATGGTGGAGTGTCTGAAACCTTTACCTGATTGGCACTGGGGAGTCTTTAGGGTTGGGAGCTCAGCTGGGGGCGGGCTGGGGTGGGGTATAGCTCATGTGGCTACACCTTCAGGGAGAGAACTTTAGGTGGTAGGTATGAAAATAGTCTGGAGAAGGAGAGAATTGAAGCAGGCGGACAGCTGGAAAGCATACACTGATAAGGGCCTAAAACAAAGAAGGGCAGGAAGAATGGAAAGGTAGGGTTAGGGTGGGAGATGACACAGGAAGAACTGAAGGAGGCGAATGAGCAGTTGCACTTTATTTTTTAGATCAAGTCTCGGCAAGAAGTGAGAGGTCTTTTCTAGAGGAAGAGAGTAGGGAGGGAGTTTTACCAAGTGTTCTAGCCTCGAGGTCCACGTAATTCTAGTCCAATTCACAGCTAAGTGGTGTAAATCTGCTCCGTGCAGTTGAATGAATGAATGGTCAGGAAGGAGGAGAGCACACTCCCTCTGTCCGCAGTGGGCGGGTGAAGAACGGTGCTGTACCCAGAGAGCCTGATACTCACAGCACGTCATTTTTATCATCTATCTCCTCTACATGCCGAAAGTAGTTCAGTAAAAATCTTGTGATAATGGTTATTTTCTTGATTTGTTCTCTAGTTTTAAAACAATTAGCAATGTAAAAGGAATAAATTTAATTTTAAAGATGTATTCAAATTCAGTAAAAGATTTCTTGTATGAACTGAATTTTGCATTTACCGAACAAAAATATTACACCTCGTACTTTGCACTGTTTCGCTGTTTTAAATTTTAAACACAAATAAAAACCCTGGATGGCCACATAAAATGACAGAATTGAAGTAACTCAAGTTATGTTTTTTCATCCTTACCATCACTGTGTTATCATTGTTTATTCTGAACACACTGTTTAAAAGCATGAATGTGGCATTTCCAAAGGTTGGGGACACAAACTACACCCAGAGCTGGTGCAAAAGGTTCCGAACCATTAGGGACTCACTTTGCAAAGTGTGAACCACATCCACCTCTGCCAGGGGCTGACTATAACTGGGAGTTCTTGGAATTAGCTTATGTGTCCAATACATGTACAATTAAAAGATAAGTAATAATGTGCTAATTTCAAGCTTTCATATCAATTGTTTGAATACTCAACAGTAACCTCAGCAATTCTTTACAACATATACCAACAAAAGATTTTTCTCAGGAGAGAGTATCTTGTCATCGACATTGTTTAGATTGCAGGCACATGATGATGACAAAAAAGCAGACCGACTTTTAGTTGGTTTTATCACTATTTGAAAATTCTCGAAGACAGCGCTCCCTCAGAGCCCCCAGCAGGTGCACGTGGTCAGAGCCTAACCGTGAAACCGGGAGGGAGGGCACAGCTGGGGGGAGTGCATGGAGCACCTGTATTTTACATACTGTGCTTCCAAATAAGACCTACCATATGGGGCCCCTGCCAAAAATGTTTGAAAACCTCTGCAGGAAAACATCCAGGTGGAGGTGTGGAATAAGCACTGGGAATTTTAGGAGTTCTGCTTAGAAGAAGCCAGGCCCAAGAAAGTGGTGGGAGACAGAAGACATGGTAGCTGAAAGCAGGAGCGTGCTGAACAACAAGAGAAGAATATGAAAAACAGGTCCTTGGGGGCTAGTTAATATTTCAGAGGTAGTCGGGAGGAGGAAGGGCTGGACAAGGACAAACAGGAGATGGGCGAGTCGGGAAGAAAGTAGAACACCCAGAAGAGCACAGAATCCAAGGCAGGAGAGGGTTTTATGAAAGGAAAAGCCAAAGCAATTAGGGGTTTGTGAAGCGATCAAAGAAGCTAAAGAGAACAAAGGCTGTAGGATTTGATCCTTGGGAGGTGACTGGTGACTTTCAAAAGGAGCAGAAATCACATTTCACAGACCGAATTCCTCCGTAGAGGCATGGCTAACTACTCTGTGGTGAATCTATATTTTGGAAAGCTATGCAACAATAAAAGATGATGAGTTATGGACATGGAAACAATCACAAGGCATATAGTTGAGAGAACGAACAAGTTCAGATTGATATGTAAATATATAATACTACATGTTAGCACAAACAATTCATTCTAGATGGTAGTTTTCCCACAGGTGTACATGTATGTACATGCTTTGGAAATGGTCTGGAAAGATGCAACTAACTGATAACAGAGCATAGCTGTGCCGCAGATGGGAACTGGGAGGAAAGCTCAAAGGAGAATGGGGGCTGTATCTGGAACATTTCAATTTGTTAGAGAAAAATATATTCTTATAATTACTTGTGGAATTAAAAATTATTTTTTAAAAAATTGCCTCGCAAGAAGTTAGGAGGAGTGAGAGTAAAGCGTGGAATTGAAGGGAAGGAGAAAACTAAGAATGGACCTTGAGAAGAAGGCAGATTTTAGAGATGATTTTTGGGGCTAAGGATATAGAAGCATATTTTTAGGCCTAGAAAGGTCATAATGGAAAAACAAAACAAAACAAACAAACAAACCCAGATTTTGAAAATACAAGCCAAAGGAGAACAACTGAAATAGTGAGTTTGGGGGTGAGGGTGGAGGAGATGGAGGGAATGGAATTAGGACACAAGTGGAGGTGTTAGTCTCAAGGAGAGAAAGTTTCCCCCTCATCCTCAGGAAAGGACAAAGAAAAAGGTCTGCAAAGATAACACAGAGAATATTAATGCAGAGAGGGGAGAAAAAGAGGGCCCTCTGGTGAGAGGGTATGAAGACAGGTCAGCTGCACAAGGAAGGGACAGGCAGAGCTGTGGGTTCTGAAGATGGTGGCAGAGGTTTCATAGAGCAAATATGGGAGACGGGAACTATGAGAGGGGTCCCTCTCGGGGTGATTCCAATGTTTGTCTGGCTGTGGGCAGACACAGGGAGCCCATAATCCTGGCCTCACAAGCTTTCCTGGGAATACTTAACTTTGAACAGGAATAAGACAGCAAAAGGTCTGAGGATGGGTGAGGTGGGGACAGTGAAAGGCCAGGGTATGACAGAAAGGAACAGTGTCTCAGCAGCTGGAGGGGCTGCAATAGGGTGGTTAAAATGTGACACATAAAAATGATGGTTTGCGGCTGTCTTTTCTAAACAGCTGAGAGGAAGTCCTGTGAAAAGTCTAGAACAGACCCCTTATTTCCATCACCCAAATTGTGCTGATTGGTTTTCTACCTACGACACCTGTTGTCTCTAAAGAAAAACAAAAATGAACTCTCCGCTTTCCTTTATTCTGTGTAACTTTGTTTTCTGAGGTTCAAAAATCCCCTCTCCCCACCAACTAGCATGCCACCTTCTCTGGGAAAAGAGGACGTCATGACTTGCTGAAGCTGAACCAATTTAAATATCATTTTTTAATTTTAAATGCAAATTTATGGAAAGGAGGCAAAATGTAATAAATTAGAAGACAAATGGACAATCTCTATCTTTTCTCTAATTATTCAAGCAACCTCTAACTTTGAATGTAAGCTAAGATTTGTTACTTTAAAAATCACTTGTGTGCTCAGAAAAGTATGGCTACATCTTTAAATAATGAAGAAACACATAAACAAGAGCTTTTTCTTACCGAAATATATCACGATGATTTTTGATGTTCCAATCATATTCTCCTTTACTGACAAGTTCAAAGAATTCAGTTCTCCTCCTGCATGAAATCAAATGAAGAAAGAAAGAAAAAAAACCCAAAAAAACCTGGAATGAAATTTCTCAGTCTGCAGGGTGACATAAATACATTTATGAGAAAATATAAGACCACCTGAACCAAATAACTTAATATATGAAATCATGAGGTAAAGCACTATCAAAATAAATCACTCTTTTAAAAATGTTGAGGCTTCAAGAAAAAGCCACAATCATTTCTGAATGTATTTACAACAGAGATTATTGAGCCATAAAACAGAAAACAATGTGGTCCTGCATTTAGGATTACTTGCTGTGAAGCCCTCGTGGCACTTACTGAAAGTCAGAGAAGAAAGGCAAGGACAAATAAAAAGCGGGCACAATTCTGGAATGTTCTTTTATCACTCAACATAGAACTGAGCTGTATGATAATCCAAGATAAGATAAACTCCCTGGTAGTAAATTCAGGACAAGTATTTTTTCTCTAGGTAAGAAAATAACTAAAAACTATTTCAGTATTTCAGTGCCTAAACATATAAGCTCTGAAGTAAAAAAATCACTGTTTAACCAATGGGTCAGTCACCTACTGCAACTTTGGAAAGTCACTTAAAGCCTTTGAGCCTCAATTTCCTAACCTCTAACATGAGGACTAGATGTGCTAACTCATAAAGTTATTGTGAGGATAAAATGAGATGACATATGCCAAGCATTTAGCACAGTATCTGCACATTTTAAGTGCTGGATATGCACACATAAGGATACACATTTGGAGATGTATAGATATGGAAAAGATGAGGGAATATCTTAAAGTTATAAAAATACAGATGATCTGTATCTATTTTCAAAACTTTTCTTTAATCTAGTTATACAACTTTTCATTATTATAGTGAGAAAGGGAAAAAGAAAACATCATTATTTTGATTTTTTCAGAATAATTTTCCATCTTGGCACTTCCTAATGACAGATTATTTAAAGGATCCTGACACTCTGTCTCCAAAGTGCATCCCCCAAATGCTAGTCTTAGGAGGTATTCCACATAAAGGAATTTCCTGGTCAAGTGGGTTTGCGAAATGCCGCATATAATAAATCTCTCTCTCTCTCTCTCTCTCTCTCTCTCTCTCTCTCTCTCTCTTTCAGAGTTTCACAAGCCATATTAGCTTTTTGAAGGTTCTGAGAAATACCAAGATAGAAAAAGCCTATTTAACCTTACATAAGCACAGAATTCCATAGTACTGATGTTTTAAGGAATACTTTGGAAATGACTACCATGTCATTTATGGTGGAAATCAGTGTAGGATCTTAGACACTTAACATTAACTCACTGTAGTTTGGAAAACAAAGGACAAGATGCTGAGTGCAACTGGCTCTCTTGTTTCTGGTCTGGGTTGCTCATCACCGCTGACCAGCTGTATGGACTTCTTGTTATCCGATCAGACTGACTGCTCAATTTACTACTTAAAAGGGAGCAGGTCAGGAAGACAGATATGTGGCTCACTTCCTCATGTGAGACACAAAGACAGGTCCTGGATCTATTGCTTCAAGTGGATGCAGGTGAAGGTCAAACCACAGAATGCAATAATCTCTATAACAATCTCATTGCAATTGGCAAAGATGGCGCCGCACAATTACATGGAAGGACCCAGCAACTCCCCTCCCCTTTGGTGTACAAGTATGAACATATCTTTTCTTCTTATAACTTTACTATATTTTTCAATTGTCCACTCCCTTCTTTATGACCATAGTCAGGCCTCTTTCATATCACTACCAGGACTGTGAACTGAACTAGAAAGGGAAGTGGTGGAATGAAAAGAACCCAGATCTGGACTCACACTGACCTGGGCTTAGGGCTGACTGTCACTTACTAGCTGTGTGGTCCTGGGCAAGTGACTCCACATTGCTGTGCTTCGGGCCTCCAGCTTTGAGAAGAGGCCTATTAAGCGTTTGGCACTGGTAGATACTCCATACCTGACAGCCATCTTTAATATGTAAATACTATCAATAATATTACTACCAACAATAATACACAAGGGACTAATTGGACTACATGGAGATTGAAGATGTCATCTAGTTCTTTCTTATCCCTGAATGGATATCAGTTTTCTTTGGAATAACTGTGGAGGAGAAAGTATGGTTCAAGAAATGTTTATTAAACACTTACTCTGTGCTATCTCTTTACTAGGCTTTATGGACACAACACATGGGTGCGATCTTTAAACATCTCTGAGTTTAGCAAACAAGTAATTCCCCTTCAAATGTAATACTAATGATAACACTAATGATACTGAGACTAGAGTGAGGTGGGGAATGGCACGCACCCTGGGCACAAAATTTAAGTGGGTACCCAAAACTCAGGAATCAAGACAAATAATATTTTAATGCAATATTAAAAAAAAATCAACACAAACACAAAAAACATCCATGAACAAAACATAAAAATTTTAAAGACAGGACCTGACACCACTCGCATGGCTCACCTCTCTTGCCTCCCCTTAGTCCCTGTCCTGATGAGGCTAATATTTATTTGGTGCTTACTGTGTTCCAGGAAGACTTCCTGGGCTCTGCCATGGAAGTAATGTACTACCCACATTACTGACCTTAGGTAAGCTCCTTAACCTTACTGGGCTGCAGTTTTCTTATCAGTAAAGAGTAATATTAATGGGGTCTACCTTGTTAGACTTGGTAGGAAGATTAAATGAAATGATTTATGTAAAAGACTTCAGAGAGTGCCTGGCACACAGTAGGTGCTCAGTAAGGATTAACTACTGTGATTAAGCTCAGAAGTGTTGAAATAACTGGCCTGTTTTCACAGCTGGTGAGTGGCAGAGCTGCTTCACAAAGAACCTCTTGGAATAACAGCTGCCCCAAGCAGCTATGTATACCCCAGATGTCCTGGGAGCACCGAGGAAGGCACTTAGCTGAGCTTAGCTTGAAAAATCATGGGAGACCATGAAGGGCTTTCTGAAAGAGCTTGTCAGTCACCATCCTTATCATCATGTGCACCTGGGTGTCATTTCAATCCTGTGAGTTATTCTAAGAAATCACTAGGATGTAAGCTCCATGAGGACAAGGTCCTGAACCATTTTTGTTCACTCCTGGGTCCCCAGTGCCTACAAACAGGGCTGACATGTAATAGAAGCTTAATAAATATTTGTTTAATTGATGAATGAATGAAAAAGAATATCTCATAAAGCTATTCATTAAAAAAATAACTCTTCAGCCATTGGTTTCACCTAGATTCTAATTGTTCTGGGATCTTCACAGTTGCCATTTGGAGAGAATGAGATAAGAAAAACATATACACAATTGAATATTACTCGGCCATAAAAAAGAATGAAATCTTACCATTTGCAACAACATGGATGGACCTAGAGGGTATTATACTAAGTGAAGTATATCAGACAGAGAAAGACAAATACCATATGATCTCACTTAAATGCAGAATCTAAAGAACAAAACAAATGAACAAACAAAACAGAAACAGACTCATAGATACAAAGAACAAACTGATTGCCAGATGGGAGGGGGATGGAGGGCTGGGTGAAAAAGGTGAAGGGATTGAGAAGTACAAATTGGTAGTTACAAAACAGTCATGGGATGTAAAGTACAACATAAGGAATATAGTCAATAATATTGTAATAACTATGTATGGTGTTAGATGGGTACTAAATTTATCAGGGTGATCACCTTGTAAGTTATATAAATGTCTAACCACTATGCTGTATACCTAACACTAATATAAAATAATACTGAATGTCAATTGTAATTGAAAAATAAAAATAATAGAAAAAGAGAAAAATAAATATTTATTTTGAAAAAAAAACAAAAACAAAAACACAAACAAACACACAACATAAAATCTATCCAAGAAAAGCACTGTCAGATTCCTGATGACTAGATGGCAACCTGAACCAAGTAGACAACATGAGTTGTGGGAAATTTAAGAACACCATTCCCATCCAATGCCTGATCTTCCCTCCACTGATTATTGTAGTATCTGCTGAGAGTATGTTTGATACATGAGACATAGCATCTTTGATGCAAGGTGGAGGCATATTGCCTAGGTGGCTAACTTGATGCAGAAAATAATATTTTTAAGGTACAAATCTATGACTTGCACCATAAGAATAAATTCCCCAATGATGGAAAGTTTAATAGCTAGAGTTGCTGGTGTGAAAGTCTTAAACCTACTGAACTCCAAATCAGTCCTAGGCTTCTTCTCACATTATAACAAAGCTAGATTTTATTGCATCAGGACAAAAGGGAATATCCACTCTCCTGAGGGAATGGTGGATAAAGGAGGGTGGAAGGAATTTTTTTCATAGGACACAGAAAAATGCAGCATACTAATTTTATTTTTCCTTCACTAACAAAAGTATGCAATTTCATAATAGGTTCTATTTATTCTGGAGTCCCATGGTTTGGCTATGACCTCAGACGGTAATAGACTTCCTACACACCACAGTTTTATCAAGATAAACATGGGAAAAGTCTAGTCACTGGTGAAACCATGAACATCATACATCTGGTAGTATATTTGGTCACATAAGTGCCAAATAGATGCTTTAAGGTTTAACCCAAAATACACTTAAATTTTTTTTTATAGTTTATGAAAATTAACATCTTGAAAGGTCAAGAGACGGGGTTAACCATTTTCATAAGGCTGCAAAAGGATTTTTGAAGTGATGATATGCAAAGTGCACATAACAAATTTATTATGCATATTTAATATATTTTAATAGGTGTAACATTACACAATGGACATAGAGAATCTATCCGTTCACCACCCAGTCTAGAAATAAAAGCTAGAGCTGTCCCATTGAGGCCCTGGCATCTCTGCCCTGCTGCCTCTGCCTCTCTGCCATCACAAGATGGCCAGTTTCTAAAGTACACAGAAGTCATCTCCACGTGTAGCCTTGCAATTTTACTAGGTCAATTATACATAATGTTGCCTATGTGGTTTAGATTTTATAAAAGGCATCACAGTGAATGTATTCTTTGGCAATTTGCTTTTTCTCAGTGTTTCTG